TTTCCACCAAATCAGAGTAGAGCCAATGCCATGTTCTCTTTCTGCCTGTCATGAGCTGCACAAGTGCTCCAACACTCTGGGAGGTGATATAAAGCTTTTAGTTCTCTCCACAACTAAACACAAAATGAAAGCCCTTTCTCCTGAAATTTCCTCTAAAACTTCCACTGGATGTGATATTTTTCTTCAAAAATGAATGAGGGCACAAAACAGTAATGAATAGCCTCTGTGTTTATCCTACAGACACGTTCAACACTTGAGGGCTGGGCTGGCTCTAGGCAGGTTAGAGAAACAGACTGACAGGAACCACAGAAAGTTCAACATGCACTAACGCGAGACCGTGCACCTCAGTCACACTAACCCTTGGCAGTTTGCACATGCTGGGACTGACTGGCCCACTCAGCTCCACTGAGTAGGAGCTGGGGGTCCCCGGCAGGCAGGGAGTACCAGCAGCACGCCCCGGCAGCAATGAGGGCTTGCAGCATCCTGGGCTGTATAAACAGGAGCATGGCCAGCAGGTGAAGGGAAATGATTATTCCCCTTTACTTGGCGTTCGTTAGACTGCATCTGGAATACTGTGTCCGATTTTGGGCCCCCAGTACAAGAACATTGTTGATGAACTTGAGCAAATCCAGTAGAGAGTCAAGATGTTTGGAAGCTGGAGGACAGGTCCTGCCAGGAGAGGCTAAACAAATGGGGTTCATTTAGCATGGAAAGGAGAACGGGTACAGGAGACCCAGTGCCCGCTTTCAGTACCTACGAGGTGTTACTCAGAATACAAAGACAGGCTCTTTACTGGGGTGCATGGTGGAAGATAGACGATGGTCATAAATTGAAATAGGGGAGGTTCCAACTGGATTATCAGGAAAAGTTTTTTCCCTGCAAGAACAACGAAACAGTGCAACAGGTTGCCCCCTGAGATTGTGGAATTTCCATCCTTGGAGGCTTTCAAGACCCAGCTGGACAAAGCCCTAAGCAACCTAGTCTGCACTCAGTGCTGACTGTGCTGTGAGCAAGAGGTTGGACTAGAGACCTCGTAAAGTCCCTTCCAACTCGACTGGCTCTATGATCAAGAAACATTCATTTTAAATCTCTTCATCTCACAGAAGATGAGGTTTAATTAAATTATAGTAAAATACTTTGAGAAAGTATTATACAAAACACAAGTGATTGTCATGTAGTTCAGGCTGGTTGGGTTTGAGTTTTGAGGGTGTGAGTTTAGAAGAGCATCAGCATAAATACTAAAACAAACATTCCATCATAGTCAGAATTTTTCAGCTACCATGTCACAAGAGAAAATGGATTTTAAAATTTTTTTTTAGACAAGAAGAATTAATCCTTATTATAGAGAAAGTTGAATTTCCCCAATATCTATGTCTTTCTCCCATCTTTGTTAGAACTAAAACCTATCACTCAGGAGGATACATTTGAAATATTATTCTAGGGTACAACTTTTCCTTCGAAACTTGATACAATGTCTAGAAAGAAGGGTTTTGTCCTTTTTTTTTTTTTAAAGAGTTTGCAAAAAGAAAAGTCTTGATATTCATTTTACTCTTCATATCTCAGAGTTTAAAATTAAAACACAAAGTTTGCTTTACTAACTTGAACAAGAATCAGCTTCTTTTATTAGCTTAGGGAAAAAGATGTATTTATTTTACTATTTTCCCAGAATCCTACTGTTGTTTTTTTGTTTGTTTTACAAACAATAGTTTGTGGTTACATTATTCACTATTTATAACTGAGAAAAAAAACAGCATTTGGAGAAGCTAAGTGGTGTGCTGAAGGCCACATAGAGGTTCAGTATAGCTGAGCTTGGATTAGATCCGAATGCTCAAGTTCATATGTAAATTCATCTGTCACGCTATGCTTTTACTGTATTCTAGGAGCTCAGCCTACAGATTGTACTAGAGCACAGTATGTCCCCTCACCCAAGTGCCACTAACCTACCTGGACAACTACAGGACACCAAATGTTTCTTCTTGCTCAACTTGACTAAATAGTAGCACAGGTCCTTCTGAAAATTAGGTCCAAGTTATCTTAAGCAGGATGATTTAAAAAACGGAGTCACAGTAAATAAGACAGTTTTAAAAAAGCTCTCTGAAAACTGCCTCTGATTATTTCTTACTTGGATAAAGTAGAGCCATTATTTTCTTACCTACTGTATAAGAGGAACCATTAGAAAAGGAAATAATGAACATACCTAGTATTCTGTTTTGGTATTCTGAAAATACAAAGCACTGTATATTTATTAGCTCTAGAACTATTATCACTATTATATAGACATACCTTGGAAAAAGAGCACAGATTAGTAGCTCTCCACAAGGTCAGGAAAACTTCAGATCAGTAGAATTAATCCTGAAAAAAACAATGGGAAAGAAGGATCAAGAACTTGTGGGCGGAATCTAAATTATCAGCAATAGCGTCTTTGATTTGTTTTTGATATTTGTCTGGTCAAGTACTAATTCTGCATTAGGCCAGGATGTAGATTATAATAATTAGAAATTACAACAATGTATTACTGAATTCCTACTTTAAAAAAAAGAAGGTTGAAAACTACTCACCTCCCCCAGTCATTCCTAGAAATTAAGTACAACAGAGTAGCTCTTTATTTCTAAGGTCGTATACATGTTTTTTAATTCTATAATCACTGAATGATTTGACAACCGCTATTATAACAAATTTCAGCAAAGCTTTCTGAAATACCTCTTATTATGTGACACAACAGAACACAACATCTTTAAAAGGAATAACTCCTACCACTATGGATGTATATACATCATTTCCCAAACCTTGGGGTTTTGAAATTTGTGGACCTGCTTTCAAAAATACTTGTATTGACTTCTGCACTATACTGGTTTCTCAGTAAATGCTTTGCTCTACAGTTTTTGTGACATTCATTTGTAAAACTCTCTAGAAATCAAAGGAATGGATTTTTTTTTCCAGACTTAAGTAGATGACTGCTAGGGGGCACCAAGGGCAAGAGCTGCTCCCCAAGGGACAGGGAAGGGCCTCGCAGCCAGGGCCCAGCCCATTGTCCCAGAGGGAGCAAGGCAGCCAGGAGCAGCCCCAGCCCTGGGCAAGCCCAGAGTGATAAGGCAGGTCCAAAGGCAAGTCCATGGGTCAGAGGCAACGGGGCCCGTGGCCAGGTGCAATGCAGTTGCAACATCGCTCAGGCAGGGCCATGAGCAAGAGCCTCCACTTAAAGCGGCTCCCAGGCAAACACAGCAAAACCCCTCAATAAGGCTTGTTTTTGAAGGCAAGCTCCAGTAAGGCGCTTCTCTCTTTTATTCCCAAGGCCACCAGCTGCACTGTGTTTAACTTGGCCCTGAGCCTAGGCAGCAAAACTCTCAGGAAGGGGAAGGATGTGCTCAGGCCCCCAACAACAACAAACCCACAAGAAAAAGAAATATTGAGAGCATTTAGTACATGGTAATATTCACAGCTTGACTGGATTCAGTGCAACACCTAAGGTATAACGACTGGAATTTGATGAGCTGGAATATTTTTCTCTCTTTATATGAAACATGCATGCTCCATAACAGCAGTGATTTTTACGGATGACAGTCTATCCTGTTTCTTTAATAGTCTGCATAGACCAATTCAGTATTGAAACATGAAATAGTTAACAATTTTGATGATTAGTCTATTTAATATCCTATCGTGCTTTGGTTTAACTTGCATTTCATTTTCATATACATTACATTCCTCATAGGGACACCAAGATCAAGGCAGTGCTCTCTAGATCTCCCTCCTTTTTTTAATATGGAAAATATAATCAACATTCAAGGCTGATCATTACTACTTTAGGAAAAGGGCCTACACTAGCCCATTAAGAGGAACTGTCAAGTCAGAGCAGAAAGGTTTTAAGATTTCTTTATGTCATAGTATTTGTCTAGGATTAGGATTAATGGCAGAAATCTACACAAACAACTAGGAAAGAAACGCATTTCTAGGAAAGAAACAAAATCTCATTTCCTCAACAGATGTACAAATGATCCCAAAAATATGTTCTTAGAGTCTATCATTTAGATAGTCTCACATGTTGCTCAGATATTCTGGAAAGCCTCTGGACTTCTGCCTACCAACTATGGTGGGTAGCACACAGTTATAATCTGAAGCAGGTATTGCTTAGTTGCCTCCAGCCTTCCAGTTACCAAGTGCTAGTCAGCCTCTGAAAGACAAACCCTGCTGTTATCCTGCAGCTGCTTAGCTAAGAGTCAAAACAGCTGTCTTCTAAGTTTCACATATCCAATAAAATGTCTTATCATCCATAATAATAGAGAACAAGCAGAATCTCCTAGAACAAAGCCACTCACACTCAACTGGCCTTTCAGGCCAGCTGTGCAGTAAAGATCACTCTTCTTTTCCTTAGAGGAAACAGGTGAAAGTCTTTGCAACTTTGCATTTCCACACCAGTGGAGCATAACAGCTGATTCGCTTGTATCAAAGTCGTTAATAATTGACTGACACTTACCAAGGGCTGTAAGTCTCCAGAAGGGAATGGCCATATGCTGAACGGATGAAAAGTAGTCCACTAATATCCAGCAGCCCTGAAGCAACCAATGTGCAGAGCTCCAAAAATATGCCTTTGCTTATCCTGAGGTCTTGCAAGTCCATGTAATTCCTTCTTGCAAACCAGTACTTGCCTCCAGACAAACTGCTGGAGAAAATAAACTCATCAGTTGTCTTGAGCTAAAATTTTTCAGTTCATACTTACACTGAAGTCAAATAGTCATTGCAACGGGCTGTAATGGTGTAAGGCGATATTGCCCCTGCAGAAGTTATTGCGTCCCCAGCTTAGCTGGCGAAATAAACCATCTGAGAGCTCCTAATACATATCATGCAAAGATATGCGAGCTCGCTCAAATTACAGTCAGTAGCACTTGAGGCTGTTAGCTGACACTGCACTGAGTGAATAAGGAGCTCTCATTGACCTGGATCAGAGATGAGGGCACTAATCCAGGCTGAGGGCCAGTAAACCAACAGTTTAGGAAATCAAAACCACCAAGTCCACGACAATTGTTTTCACAGTAATCCTTTCTTACTGCAGCCTGGAAGACTTTCTTTGAGAATCTGTGAGAAGTGAAGTATTTTTGTTACCCAGGAACATGGAGAGGTATCATTCACTGAGTTCTCTTCCATCAAGACTGCTTTCTGAGTGGAGAAGGCACGTCTTTCCTCAAGGAACCTTCAGCAACCTCATATCAATTCCTCTCAAGATAAGTTTCAAAAACGTTTCTCTAATTTTCTCTGCTCTTTGAAAAATACTTCCCACAGCAGAAGATGACATCTTATTTTCAAAGTGTGAGAGAGACTAACTACACCAAAAGGGAAGATTTAACTATTGTTGCATTTGATTAATCTAATTGATCACTGCTATCCACAGAATCCATGAAAGAGATGGTTCTCGAGCAGCACTCCCTCTCCCTGCTGTCTTTCCAGGCCTGTCTACTGTGTTAACCTGTTGGGTGCCCTTAGCTGTGCAGGTGTCCGTATATTTTGGAGGGCCTGCTCTGGTTACTGCTAACACGCATTTTTCACCATCTCATCATGCTCACAACTCACCATCTCACAGCTGGCAAACTTAGCACTAGCACCACTGCAAGAGTCAGTGTAGCTACTCTTTTTGACAAATAATAACTAAGATCAAACCATTAAAAAGGAAAAAAATACTGCAATTGTGCCAACAACTATGGAACTGTCCCCCCAAAACATCAAAGAATAAGAAGTTATTCCAGTATGATATCAGAGACGGTAAGAAGGAACAGAGACACTTCATGAATGGCTCTGCTCTCTACCTACACTGGCTAAAGAATGCGGTGTCGTTCAGAGCTCATGCACATCCCCAGAGGATTTTGATGGCCAAAACACCGCTGCACTTCAATTATGCAGACAACATCTGTCCTATTAATCTAGACAGATTTACAAAGACTTATTTTCCAGACCTATTAAGTACAATAATAAAGAAAGGGTACACATCTGTCAAGACTACCAGTTACCTATGAACAAGGACATGCCTAAAAAGTGAATTAGTATTATTAGGTACTTTCATCAATACGATACATAAGCCCAGAAAAGCTTGGAAAAGGAACAGAATTATTTTCTTTTAAAAAGCATTTAAGTCTTAACAGTATATGTGGCATATGTAAGGTTTATTGCTTCCATATCACGGGACAAAAAAGATGATTTACTGTTAGCCACATAGTCAGTCAATCTTAAAAAAAACAAAAACAAAACAAAAAAACTCCAGACTTTGATTTCTCTGTTCTAATTACTGATATTTGCTGCAATAAAATCGATGGCCATATGATCTTAACCACTCTGAAGTAGACAGCTGTTTCCTTTTCACATTCTATCCAAGTTTACAGAAAATACTGGAAACTAACAACTTGGTACCAAAGATCCTCCTTTTCCCTTTTTGCTCTAAAAGGGCCAAACGGGACAAGGTCACCCTGCGGCCAAGAAACGTTTTTGCTTTCTAGAATTTGCCTGAAGTCCATCAGAGAAAATACTGAATCTGAGAGAGCATCAGCTGAGTGAAGGAAGGGCCGACGCTCAACTGAATGGCATTCCCTGTTTGGCTGCACAGCAATAGCTTGATGGTGACCACAGCCATCTTCCAGCAGAATAACATTTCCTCATTTCAGCTCTGCCCCTTCTGTGACTGAAGTTCAAGGGATGTCACCCAGGTTGATTTAGCCTTGTTTATATGCAGTAATAACCCATACCATCTGCTATGTAATAACCACTCCACAATGGCCTGCTTGCACGGACTCTTTTATTTCATATTAAGGGTGCCTTTGCGTGGTTTAGTTTAGTTTGAGGTGGATCAAGCTAAACCACACAAAGGCTTTCTTAGCATAGAACATGTATCCATAAGGCAAGTCAGTGCAGAATGGCCACTGCATTTTAAATTCACACCTGTTATTTCACAAAGTTTATTTCACAACAGCTTCACTTCCAAGTAAGCAGTGCTTAAATGAAAGAGATAATAGGGGGGGGGGGTTATGAAGGTTAAAGCAGTAAATCCTACATGACTGCCATAACCAGCTTTCCAGATAACCTTGTTTGTGGAGGGTACAAAGCCACTGTGTGCTAGGCAAGGGAAAATAGGGTTGTACAGAGATCTCGACAGCCTGCCGAATTTACCTTTTGTTTTGTACTTCTCTTCAAAAAATAATCTAAAGTGATAGTGTTTTTGTATAATATTTGGGGAAAAAAAACCCTTACATTTGTCCACGCACAGTGTACCTTTTCCCCATTTTTCTTTCAACTACCACTCGTCATTAAGACACACTACTTCCAGAACAACAGGCAGTACTCCATTAATAGAGTGTTAACAGACCTTTTCCTGTTTGCTCATATAATGACACATAACATTAGTTTCTGAACTAATTATTTCTGTAATAACTGTGCTGCTCTTTTCTTGCGTAAGTATGAGGCAAGTCAGCATTCACCCTTTTAACACAAGCAATGTGTTAGATGTGCCCATGTAAACCTACAGAGACAGCTCAGCCCTGAAAGCCTACTCTGAGTGCATTGCACTAGTAATAAGCATCTCTTACATTAGATCAACTGACGTGGTGGAGGTCAAAAAAAACGGGCAAGCATGAGGGTGCAAATCCCCTCGTTAAGCAGCCTCTTGTTTTCTAGACCATTCCAGTTGCAGCGAGGTTGTTTCAACTAACGCAAAATGCAAAGTTTTGTGCTTTACTTCTAAAGTACAGGGGCACAAGTGTAAATCGTTGACTTAGGCCAACAGTAAAGCCAAAACAGAAAGGCTTTGTCTGCCCTTCCGAGAAGGGCAGAGTAGAAAGCCATCAGGACCATTAGCCTGAAGAGCTCCTCCAGCCTTTTACGTGGCCAGTTTACACCCCGCAGGAGTCTCCACGCACTCCCTCGGCGGCTGCTTCACAGACCTGCTCGCACGCCCTGCGCGGCCAGTCAGGGAAACACACAGGGGGCACCCAGGGTAACAAACTCCGGCAGCACCAAGGCTCATCCCAGGAAAGCCCTGGCTCGTCAGCTGTCTGTAACCCCACCGCAACCTGTTCACCTGCTCGCTCAGTAGAGATGCCTCCTCTCAAAAACAAACAAAAAATAACCAAATAAGCGAAAAAAGAACCCCACCCTGACCCCTTACGAGCGGCAAACGCCTCCTCCCGGACTACCAGGAGACCTGC